CCCGTCACTGGAAACTCTGGTTGGAGAAAAACACAGATTAGTGACCAAGATAATCTGACGAAGGATGATTATCCATATGAGTCACTGACCAGTTTTAATAGTTCAGTTCATTTCCATAAAAATAGATAGGATCCAGCCAGTGGGCTGCCAACAAGATGCAACAGGCGCCACCCAGAGTGTCCCAGATGCTGCAGCCCCGGAGAACATGCAGGAGTCCAAGCCAAATCAGAGAAACAGATCAGAACAGGAACAGACAAGCTAAGAGGTCCAGGAGTTTGGAACCCGGTATACAGATGAGAATAGGAACAAGCTGGTTCAGGGTTCCAGATAGTTCAGGCAGAATGTTCAGATGGGAACAGGCAGGCTCAGTGCTTGAGCAGCAGGACAGGTCAGGATATCAGAACACTACAGAACGCTAAAAATCAGCTCTCTCCTCTGAGACAAGACAAGAACAGACATGCTCAATGAATGAGAGACAGATCAGGATCAGGAAATCAGAAACACTAGGGAACACTAACAGACCCTCTCTCCCCTGTCCCCTGAGAATGAGAACATGAACAAGAGCATCAGGATCAATAATCTGGCAACGATGGCGGGGACTGAGCGGTACAAATAAAAGCAGCAGCAGGTGGATTAGATGAGCAGTAATGAACAACCAGGCAGAGTTAGACAGGTGAATGAAGTGAGAAATTAGGCCAGCTATCAGTGCTAAGATCATGACATTATAAGGTTTTATCCTAATTCAATTTATGAGGTGTCTAATTTTTAGAAACATTGTCATCTTTTGAAAAATGTAATCACAACTACATCATTAAAACATTTTTTGAGAATATTGTATGTTTTTTCATTTGAGAGAAATATGGGTTTAGAAAAGGAACTAATTTGTATTTTGCAGAAAGTATTTTTATTGTTACTGTTAATGATGATTACAGATTTCAAGTAAAAACACCTACTGTAAGATAAACCCTAAGGATGGGGTAGCTGTCAGTGGGGCAAATGGTCTACTTTGTGAGAAATCATTTTGTGCTTAAATGTAATAGCGAGTCAGTTTTATCCAAAGGTGGAGTGGCCAATCGGGAAAGTCGGGAAGCTTCCCGGTGGGCTGTTTCACTGTGCTGGGAAATTTTACTGCAGTAGCAAGGAAAGAAACTCACACAATAGCAATAAAAGCTGGAACATATTCTTTTTTGTGGAAAATATTAAAATGTACATACAGCACTAATTAGGACCAGTGATAGATATACTAAACAATATATAAAAGACAGACAGACAGACAGACAGACACTAGCCACGTAAAGTTGGTTTAACCCATCAGTAACAATTTTGGTTGATCCTAATAGTGGAATTGATCCAATTTAAACAGACAAATCATAATTTCTTCACATTTCTTCTGTCAACAGCCACATCACTGCTTTTCAGTTAAATTTCAGGATCCCTTTTAAACTACATTGGCAGGGCTTTAGAGAACACCAATGTTTTTTCTACTTTTAGAAATCAAAATAAGTTTTCGCACCTAATTGTTTTTCAGTGCCTGTTGTACGTCCAAACTGTTTCAGTTCACCATAACCGAATCAATCTACAGGTCTTTAAAGCACCTATGGAGCCTTCATTCCATCCGTAAGTCCCCTTGCAAGCTCCTGTTTGCTCACCATTATTTCACACAAAACATACAGACTGGCCAGTAAGATCATAAGAAAATATACAAATATTTTTTAATTCCACAATCCTGTCCCATATCTCTCATGGTGCAACAGTCTAATCACAGACTAGCCTAACAACTCTTAAACCACTTGAACGCCTATAGGTTTTTGGTCTATGCCTATATGGTCCTAAACCAAATACCTATAAGATTTTATTATTAAACATTTAGTCCAAATTTTGCATCTTATCATTCACAATTCAAATTTATTTTTACATTTTTAAACAGATTTTTAAATGTCTTAATGGACTGGCCTCAGTGCCACTAAGTGCCTGAGGGAACAGAATGCAAATCTGTGGCAGTTAGGGTAGAGTGTAAAATGCCTTAAAGGAAAACCTATTTTGCCCAATCAGCATTCTCAGTAGGTGGAGCAGAGCTATGGAATATTTTCCCAACAGAACTGAAATCTCTCACAAGTTTTCCCATTAAAAAAAAAACACTCCAAGCAGTGGATGTAGCAGAGGACGCAGTGTACTTATAGTTAGTTCATTTTATCTACTGTATTCATTTTTATTTAACTTAATTACTAAGTTTGTTTGTAATTTAATGTTGTTTTTTTAAATCTTTGCTGCATTTGTCAACTTTACTGTTACTGAATTGAACTTTTAGTTTTGATTTATAAACCCATCTAGGGACAAGTGCTGCAAATTAGTTTCTGCTATAAGCTCTATTATATAGACATCAGATTTCTGTACTACGATTTGTCTATCTTGTTGTATCTGTCCCTATCTAATAAACTAAATAAATAAGTTGTCCATGATGGATAACAGTTTATTGAGTGCTCTTCTCCCCACAACGGTCACAAAAGGCTCCAGGATAGACCTACAACAGGCACAGCCTTCTTAATGATCAAGTCTACTGTGTCACCGGTTCCAGCATGCAATCCAGGAAGTGCACATGTGCAGCAGTGTTTTTCTCTTTTACTGTGAAGCAGAAAGGAAAAAAGAATACCTGCAATCTACCCCGCAATGATTGTCAGCACTCGCCATCTTACCAATGAGATAGTGACGCATGTGCAGGCAGGCTTTTTCTTGCTGATAACAACAAATGAGATATTGACATGTAGTGAGGAGCGAGAAAGAGAGAGAGAAAAAAAAAAAACTACAAAGAAACTCACAGGCACCTTGAAGCTGGTATCTTGCTTGAATAAGACTTTGTGACACGAAGACCTAAGTTCTCACTTATTATGATAACAAAAAAAATTTCCGGTCTGTCTAGACTGGAGATTTTTTTTTTCATGGCTGCCCTTATTAGCATTTATTGAATACCTTAAAGTGCATAACGTGCTATGCATTCAGCTCTTATATATAATTTATATAATATACTGGCTATAGCTTTATATCAGTTTATGCTGTTAAGAAGTTTTCAACTTTTTAAGGAGATAAATATCACTGTCGGAAACTGAATTTACAACATTCATCTGATGAGACTAGAGAGAAACACTGATTGAAGTGAGTGTAACTGATGCATTTGTTAACAAAGAGAACGGAACTTGAATGTGAATTTTATTATCAGTCATTTTGATCCTGAATTATGATTTCCTAGGACTGTAATAATAATAAAACAACAATATGATGACGATAAAATATATAAATACATAGAAGTAGATTTTGCGAATATTAGTAGTAGGGCATGCAGGCATGCAGGATAAGAAAAAAATATAAACCAATAATTTTTTTTACATTGCTCTGCCAAGTATTTACAACTACTGTACGTTCACCCCTAAATGTAACGTAAGCTTAATCATAATTAAACAAAAATCTTGTGACAAGATGACAAATAATGCTGCAGAAATTTGTGCACTTCTACAGTGCTGTACATTAGAGTTAATGTTTCTGGTTTTTGTTTTTTCAAATGACAAAAGCAATCTTCTCATCGTGGGATATTTTTGTTCTATTTAAAAGTGTGCATTTTCCATAAATGTTTGCTATTTCTGATTATTTAAAGTACGAACATAAAGAATTAATTTTACATATGAAATAAAAAATTTCTGACAATTTTTGGAATAAAGTGGGAAGTCTTTGCCATTACACACCGCTGAAAAGTTTTCCCACGCCACCCCTGTATTCGACAGCTAATCTGGAATACCAAAAGTTCTCCACAATCCCAGATGTACAAATCTCAATACAAACAGTAAAAAAAAATTGTATGTAGTGCAACTTAATTAAGACTGATAACATTTTGACAGTTGGCTTTTTGTAAACATAACTTGAAAGCAACATTTGGCTTCTCGTGACAACTGTGGTCTCAATTATTAACCGTTTTGAGTTTATTTTGCGACTAAGTAAACTTTCCTCAGCTTGTCTTTAATATTAATTTCAATCTGCAAAGTCGACACTCACATTTTTTTGAAGCTGCATTTATGTTTCTTTTCCTTAGAGGTTTCCTTTATGACATAGCTTAGATTCACCTTATTACTCATCATTCTCTGAGTTCAAAAATGGAATAGGACTAAAATGATGGAAGGAGTTTATTTATCTCTTTTACTGCCCACGAAAATTAAGAAATATAAAAATTTAGGATATTAAGAAAACATTTTTTACTTTTACTATTAATTTTTACACCCACAGGAATTATGCTGAATCCAATGTAATCCCACCCTTAGCAAAAAGTAGTATACTTGAAGTAAATTCTATTAAGAATACTTAAGTATAAGTTTAGAAATTATACCAAACAATGTACTTTTAGGGTACTTGATGTATTACTAAAGTAATATTTCTTCGAACTAAATTTGGACATTTTTAAGTTTACTAAAGTATAATTAAAGTATACTTTAGTAAACAATAAAGTAAACAATAGTATAGTCAAGTGTACTTGACTATACTATTGTTTACTAAGTAATATAATTAAGTATATGGAATATGGTTTAGAATAACTAAACTCTAAGTGCACTGCCTGATTTAAAGTATGAAATTAGTGCACATTTAGTATACTTGAATAAACTACTTTTTGCTAAGGGCATGCCATCTTACTTATTTCTTTGCTTCACTACCTTAAACCTACATTTAAAAAGAACTATGTCCTGACTGTTAAAGCAGAGTAAGTGTGGATAAGCTGCTTTGGCAAATACACTCCAAAGTTAAACAAACCTTATATAAAAAAAAACATGTCTTATGCTGTCAAATGTATCCCATACTACTATACAGAAGTTAAATATGCATATAAAAGTGTGTTCGACATAAAGGTATTAAAATGATTTGTAGTATCACTCATGTGATAATGGGTGAGACAGTACGGTAATAGAATGGCAAATATTTCATGAACTGAAATGATTACAGAAACACATTTTGTCCCACTATAAGAAACTTTAATTAAAAATTGCTTGGAAGTGTTTACATTGACCAGATCAGAATGAGTTGAGCTTTCAGCACCAAGCATACCAGAAGGTTTTGAGACAAAAGATTCACATAAGAGAACATCTCATGCCCTTCGATAGGCATCGTGGAGGATCTGTAATGCTGTATGTCTGTCTCTTTTCCAAATAGACTTTGAACCTTGTCTACTAGGCATCACAGATTTTTTGAAAAGCCATACCATACCAGCTTTATCAATATAGCACAATAAACATCCACAGTTTAGAACCAGATTATTGAACACGGAGTAAAGACATTATATGATAACAGTAAAATGATAAAATGAAAATTAAAGAATATTTTAAAGAAACAGTATTGATGATAGGTCTAATGCAGTTACGGGCAGAAAAGTGAATTGGCCTGTCTGATAACCAAGAGAAGATACACAACTTAGGAGCTGCTACAGCAAAAGCATAGTCCGCTATAAGCCTGTTTTTTAGCACATACAAAAGCAGCTGAAACTAGAGCGTTTTCAATAAAAAAATAAATAAATCTGAGCCTCTACTAGCAAACCAAAATTTGGTGGTCAGTGTTTCTAAGAATCCTTTCCTTTCAAGCAACTTTTAAGAACTTAACAGTATGCAAGTCACTATAAAAAAAAAAAAAAAGCCAAGACACCGATATACACACTGTAGGCAATACCATAGGACTGCTTCATTATACTGTCATTGATTTATATATAAAACTTTTTCAATAAGAAGTAGAAACTTATAGAGTCTAAGACGCAGTTTGTGGAAGCAATCCACTCAGACACTTGTAAAAACCTATGAGAGGGTAAATATTCATACATCCAGTTTGACGGTACTTCGTAGAATAAGTTGATCACAAAGGCAAAGTGTAACGGTGTGTAGCAGACAAGAAAAACAATCAGGTTTGCTTTAACTATCTCAACAATTCTTTTCTTTTCCTCTGACTCATTTTGCTCTTTCACCAAGATACAGATGGTTCGACTGGAGCAGAACACGATTATCATCAGAGGAGCCAGGTAGCCTAGACATACCAGGGCTATTGTAAACGGTGGATGGAGAGGAGCATCTTTGCATCTTTCATAGCATGTCCAGAGCTTGTCAGGATAGTTTTCTTTTCGAAAAACTACAACAGCTGAGACCAGAATCACCCAGATGGGTAAACATATGGCCACCGCTGCCATTTTCTTCTTCCTCCATGATCTAGCCTGCAGAGGGAACCTGATGGTCAAAAAGCGGTGGACGCTGATGGCTGTCGTGGTCAGGATGCTGGCATACATGTTGATGTAGTGAGTGAAAAGTAGGAAGGTGCAGAGAAATGTTTTAGGTAGGCAGAAGAAGGCATCATAAATCCTAAAGGGAAGGAAAATGATGAGGGCAAAGTCAGCCACAGCCAAATTCAGCATGTAGATGTGGCAGTCAGTCCAGGAGGCTCGTTTGGCGATGAAGGCCCACAGAGCCGCACTATTGATGAGGAGACCGAGGAGAAACACCAGACTGTAAGCCCACCCCTCAAGGGTGCTGTAGGAGCAAACAGTCACATTGACGGTCGCATTACAGATAACAGTGACATTGGAGAACATCCTGTTCTGTTAGAAAAAGCAGTTGTAAAACTTAAAAAATATATAGCATAATCTGTGTTTAAGAAACAATCAGGTGAAAAACAAAATCTCCCCACAATCAGACATGTATGAATTGAGCTCAGAAAGGATAAAAGCAATGAAAAAGGCTTCTTAACTGAAATTCAAAACGTAAATTAAATGAAGCTAAAATCAGGAGTTAACATCAATCTATTTCTTAAATTTCTTTACACAAAAATGGTAGAAGTCTTACCAAGGGAGCTGCTATCTTGATTGTGAATGTTGCAGACTGTGCTAGCAGCATCAGAAATTATATCAGCATGTCTGACTAGAGTTATCTCTACTCATGCCTGTCAGCTATTTGTTTTGTGTGTGTGTGTGTGTGTGTGTGTGTGTGTGGTCTTGTTTTACCTACAATGTGAGGTAAGTATTTTGTCAAATATCCTACATACGAGGACTTACAGGTACATATGGGGACATTCAACTGGTCCCTATATGGTAAAGTTCTGTTCTTTGAGTTGGGGCTAGGTTTAGGACTAAGGTGTGAATTCAGTTTAGGTTAGGATTAGGTACATCTTGGCAAGGGCGTAGGTTTGATTTGAACTTTGGTGGGGACACTATTGGTCGGGTGTCATTGGTGCTATGCAATATGCGTGCCCTTTTTTATGCTCGATGTGGGCATCCGTACTGATAAGACGAATTCATTGTTAAAAGAGAAAAGCATGATTTTGCTCCATTAATAAAAATGTTATAAGCTCTACACTCATTAGATGCTGTTTATCAATGTTTGAAGTAACACTGGCTCTGATGAATGTGGAATTTGGACTGTTTTCCACTTTGTAAATGGTTTCATTTGCATGACTAATAGAGAAGGTAAATACAGTATTTTCTTTTGAAGATATACAATTGTGCAGAGTTAAACCCCACTCTTATATTTTACCTACTATGCTCTCTCTGTATCCAGCAAAATAATACATTCATTAAAATATTAACTTCACTATAAAAGTTGAACATCTGGGCTGTAGTTACTCTGTATAGCCCATTTTATGTATTTTATCTAGGGCTGAAAAAATGAATCGTATTAATTGATTATTTCAATAATCGTCAACTAATTTAGTATGTGATTAATCATTAACTGGTGAATGGAGACTATAAAACATAATATAAATGTAAAATAAATGTCCCTTTCCCCTACAGAGCAATCCACTTAGATCAGTAATTATACCAAAATTGTAAAAATACAATATATATATATATATATATATATATATATATATATATATATATATATATATATATATATATATATATATATATATATATATATATATATATATATATATATAATATATAAGATTAAAAAAAAAAATTTTGTCTGTCAATATTCTCCATCCAGAACTCCTAATGTGGAAATATTTTAGTTTCACCTGGTTTATTTAGACATCACCTGAAGCACTGGAGGGCCAGCTGCTTCACCTACAAGCTGCACTGCATCATTATTACTGGATATCTGTGTTTCCTATAATCATATAATGTATAAGTGCAATTTTAATAGTAAAGGATTAAATGTAACACAACCTTTTATCATTGTCCTATATTGCTTACTGTCTGACTGTTTAAATAGCTCCTTACTGTATGTCTATTTTCTTTTTTAGTGGAATCATCTACAAACACAACACTGAGAATGAGCCTAATTGTACCGTATTCAAATATAAAATAATTTTTAACAATTATAAAAGACAGTATAACACTATCTTATCTGTAATAGGCTCTATGCACAGCTCCACTACTTCCTGAATTTAATGCAGCTCCTTTGTTTCCTGTCTTTCATGATTGGATGCACTGATTAATCCAGGTGTGTATGACCTAAGTAACTGGCCAGACACACCTGGATTAATCAGTTCGTCCAGTAATGAAAGACAGGAAACAAAGGAGCTGCATTAAATTCAGGAAGTAGTGGAGCTGTGCATAGAGCCCATTTAACATTATCCAAAATAAACAGCCAGATTCAAGCATTTTTACCAGACATTAATGTTTGTACTAATTTACTTATAGACTGTGTGGAAATCTATGTAAGATAAAATTAATGTTTATATTCTTCCTTTGTTTGTTATTGTCTTTATCCTATTTCTAGAAGTATAAATAGTCAATAAAATAGAACTATTATTATGTGGAACCCTAATTATGCTTTTTAAATGAAAAACAGCAGATGTTTAGGCCCCATTTCTTGTTGTTGTACTCTATAAGAGAAATAACACCTGCTAATAATTATACCTGAACTTTCTCAAAGAGTCATAAAAAAATGAAAACAGTAACAGCAACTAAATATCGGTAAAAAGGAAACCCTCACATTTTCTTTTTTAGTTGGCTGTAGATAAGAATCAGAAATGTTGATGGCTTACAGCCTTTATTTGCCCATTTTGTGTCTTCAGAACTCCTGGCTGACTCAGAATATTTCGCTTTATAAAAGAAAAAAAAAAGGTTTTTGTTTTTTAGTGTTCATGATATTCATTTTTTTTAATTGGGACTAGTTTTGTAGCCTAATATTTATTGTAGTAACCGCAGCATTCTAGTGTGAATAAATTTTAAATTTTGTGCTCCAAGCACGCCAGGACTAGAAAACAGCCAATCAGAGAGAGAGAAGGCGGAACCTAAGGCAGAACAACCAATGAGAGTGGAGTTAAACAGCGCAGCACAGCTCCATGCGCTGCTGCATGAAAGGGACAGGAGAGACCAGGCAGAGGAGCAGCGAGAGGAAAAGAAGCCACTGCTGCAACAACTACTGCTGTAAATTAGAAACATGTTGCTCACATCCAATTATTGGTCGGGACAATTAGGTCGGTTCAAAATTTTGGTAGGGACATGTCCCTATGGTCCCTATGCAAACCTACGCCCATGCATCTTGGTAATAGTTAGGGTTAGGGTAAAGGTAAGGGTTTGGGTTAGGCCATATAAAATGGATGCAAGTCAAAGAAATGTCCCCATATGTCATGTGTGTGTGCGTGTGTGTGTCATATCAACTAAAAAACAATCATCTATGTAAGCTGAAAATTTAACATACTTTATTTCAAAATTTAAGACTGTTTTGCAGACTCATTGCAGAGAGAGTGAACATTATACCTTCACCAAAGTGAAAATTTTTCATGACAGCCTTAATCTCATCAAGCAATTTTGATGTAAAAGGCTAACGCTGACTGTAATACTTTATGGTAAGTTCATAAGAAAAAGGTCCTCTGGAAACATGACATCACAGGGGGTTTTGAAGTTTTGCTCCACAGTGCTGCTCTCCTCTCCAAGCTTCTGCAACCCTCCCCCCACTCAAGGGTTGGTTATACTCCGGCAGCTGTGTGTCGCAGTGAGCTTGTTGCAGGTATGACACAGATATTTTTGATTTATGACCAATTTTGAAGCATGTTCTGCGCTATTCCACGCAATCCACGTGATTGTCTGACACAAGAGGGACAATCACGAACAAGCTGTGGGTCTAGATATGGCCGAGGCGATGAGGAGCCTCTAGCACAGGGGTCTTCAACGTTTTCCAGGCCAAGGACCCCCAAACTGATGGTGAGATGGAGCAGGGACCCCCCAAATTATATATATTGTATGAAATTGTGTTATATCATCCTGGTCTCATAGTCACTCTATTACATATAGAGTAATCTAACAAAAGTAATTTTGCCCTGGGAGTATTTAAGTGTCCCAGCTGCCCAGCACTTCATACCCCCCCCCCCCCCCCCCCCCCCCAACACACACACACACAAAAAAAAAAAAGTGTCCTCCTTTTGAGAAACCCAAATCTGGTCACCCTACATTAATGTGTTTTTTCATATGCTCTTTACACATTAATTGCCAATTGCTCTAAATTAGTTAAGAGCTTATTTGATGATAAACTTTGGTTCTTAAATACAAAATTTATGCTAAACTGTGATATCATGCATCATCTCATTGATTATGGCTTTCAAACATGTTTTCCTTCTTTGTACATAGTAGCATAGTTAGTTGTCTCACTAGCTTTAGTCTACAGTTTTTAACTGGAATATGTTTGACTTGGAGCTGAATGATCTTTTTTAATAAACTCTTATATTCTGAATGTAAGCTGTGGGGAATGCATTCTATTTATGTGCAAAAATATCAGTTTGACCATGATTTGACCTCAGTTTATACTTATATTAATTGTTCTAACACACAGCCAGGGCCATAACTACCAATGAGGACATCAAGGTCATGTCTGTATTTTTATTATTTATGTTTTTCCAAAATTATGATATATAAAATAAAAATAAAATACACTGAAACTGAATGTATGATGATGATCTAGGTCTCCAAAAAAACAGCAAGTTGTTTTATATTTGAAGAGCCAATAGTAGTGCAACCCCTATCTAATAAAAAGGTAGCTTAAAGGTTTGGGCATACATGCTGCGTATCATCGTCAACATGCACTGTTGCCATAGTAACTTCCAAACAGGCTACAGGCCCTGTTAGGGAGTCCGTCAGTCACAACAGTCACTGGAAGAGGAGCATATTGAGCTACGAATGTTGGTGGAAGGCAGATAAAGTTGTAGATGATTGGGAGAAAAATATGCATTTTCAAGAGGAAGGATTTCAGAGCAGCGTGCTACTCAGACAGCAAAGGAACATGTAACCAAAGTTTAATTAACTCCGTCTGTACATCAGTCAATTTCCAGCAGTTGAATCATCATTCATCATGTGATTGATATGTTAGCGATGTTGAACTGAAAAGGAAATGTTTATCAGTTAACGTTGGTTTATCAGTGTTGGATGTGAAACTTTTTTATACTTCTGCGAGATGCTGGGAGGTCAGCAAAGCAAGAGCACAGAGCAGGTTGTGCGGGACAGGAAGTCGTGCACAGAAAAAAAATAAAGGAAACGGTTAATATTTTCAAAATATTTAATACATTTTCTGTGGTACCTATGGCGACTTCAAGAGTTTTACTCACTGGGCCACTCTGAAAATGGCGAATTTTAAATAATAGAATTAAAAACAGTTTCATTTGCATGCCGCTGAACCCACTGAGAAGTGACCGACACTTGACCTCCGTATTTTTTTGAGCCCTGCATATGACCTTGCACGCAGCCAGTAGGGCAGGTTTTCCCAAACAATATATGACAGTCCAAATAATATCTGATTAAGTTACATATTTACCACAGTGTTATCTAAACAGAAATGTGTGTAGTTAGTCACATACTCAGTCATTCCATTGATGTAGCTGGTTGAGAGTTTGCCTTTGTATGTCAGCTTTTTTTTGTAGCAGATGGCCGCTCACACTGAGCCGGTATCTACTTGAGGTTTCTTTCTGTTCAAAGGGATTTTTCCTCTCCACTGTCTCTACAAGCAGGTTTTTTGTGAGGTATTATTTTCAAGTCAATGAGTTGATGGAGTCAGCTGGTTTTCCTTAGATAGAAAACATCAAACCAATCTGACTGGATGATCTGGTTGAACTGTCTCTGTAAAGTACCTTTAGATTACATGTGTTGTGAAATGGCGCTATATAAATAAACTGAGGTGGAATAGAACAGAAGGTGTCTGCAGCAGCCTAGCAAATAGCTTCCTCAAGGACTGTGACACAGTTAAACAGAGTGCCAGATGCAGCAATCATAAGAAGAACAAGTAGAAAGAACATTCATCAGAACATTGGGGCGACAGTGGCGTTGGATGGAGGAGTTTGCCCTGTAATCGAAGGGTTGACGGTTCAAACCCCGACTCCGACTTTCATTGTCGTTGTGTCCTTGGGCAAGACACCTCACCTGCATTGTCTACTGATGGTGGTCAGAGGGCCCGGTGGCGCCAGTGTACGGCAGCCTCGCTTCTGTCAGTGAGCCCCAGGGCAGCTGTGGCTACAATGTAGCTTGCCACCATCAGTGTGTGTGTGTGTGTGTGAATGGGTGAATGAATGTAGTGTAAAGCGCTTTGGTCAAGTCTCCTAACTTGAATAAAGGTGCTATATAAGTACATGCCATTTACCATTCATATAGTTTTTAAAGCCTTTTATAGTTACCTTTAGGAAAAGATATGATAAAATAATGCCTAGAGAACTACATTGGGTGTTAATTTTTTTTAAATTGGTGTTTTCTTTCAATCCCCCCCCCCCCCCCCCCCCCCCCCCCCCCAAATAACATTTGAAGGTTGAACAAAGTCTGAGACCTAGGTATGGATTGGTTAAAGTTTACTTTTAGGGTTATTGTCAGGGTGAGGGCTGTCATGATCTTGGCGCTGATGACTGGCTTATTCGCTCATATCATTAACCTATCTAACTCTGCCCAGTTTATGATCACTGCTCATCTGACCCACCTGCTCCTACCTCTATTTAATGACAAATATAAAAGACATATTTTCAGTTGTTTCAGAGTTTTTTGTTAAGTATATTTTTCCACGTGTTAATTCATATTTTTTAAGCCTTCGGTGTGAATATATAGTTTTTTATAGTCATGAAAATAAAGAAAACTAATTGAATGAGTAGGCCTGTTGAAACTTTTGGTCTGTCTGTACATTCTGATGCCAAACATGACTGGGGAGAAAGAAAAAAAAAGGAAGACAGAGAGAGGGGGATAGAAAGGGGGTGCAGAGTGAGGGGGAACATATAAAGCAAACATAACAGAATCCAACAACCAGCTGGTATCAAACTGCTCCTGAAGCGTTCATGGGGAAACCTGAACACAGAAAACAACACAGACAGCAAAAACACCTACAGCAGAGCATTTTAACAAACTTGACAGCATCAATGCGCAAACCACACGCACAGGCTCAGTCACACACTTGCATAGATAGCACAATGATCGGCTCTAATGTGTGTGACTGTGCATTTTCATGCATAAAGTGTGATATAGGTTTTACATGAGCTCAGCTATGGGTACAGAAGGCTAGGTATAGATTTGTGGCTTGACCTCATAATGTTTCAAAGTTTCCTTAAACCCTGCATTGTCTGAAGTTGTATATTTTTGTAAACAGACCTCATAAACTATATTGTTCTTCTAAACCACAATTGTGTCTTGGCCTCATTACCCTTTCAAATGTCGGTGTGTTTGGGTGTATGTTGACAATATTATCAGAGTATATGTAGTATTTTATGTAACATGGATTATTTCCACACTTCTCATTATGCTGTATTGTCTAGTGTATTGCTGTAGTTTCTAAGGTTTTTTCCAATTAAACCACTAATACTAAACCATTAAACTAACATGGAAGATGATATGTTTCTTTGTATGGTCCCTTCAAGGAAAATGTGGGTTTAAAAAGGCAGGTGATTTATGTTTTGCAAAAACGTATTTTAGTTTTAGTGATTGCAGACTACAAGTAAAAAAAAAAAAAAAACATTGTAAGCTGAACCCTCAGGATGGAGTAGCTGTCAGTGGTGCACATTCTGTACTTTGTGAGCGATCACCATGTGCAAATGTGTAATAACCAAACAGTATGATATCTCACTGCTGATCTGCAATACAAAAATGTCGCCACAACCACAGATTCACAAATATAACTCAGAAAAGAAAGCCGACAAAAAAAAAAAAAAAAAAAAACAATAAATGATGATTAAAATGTCACACATTTTTTACAGGTGGCAATTTTTAAAAACACGATTTCAGAGGGAGACTGACTTCCCTGTTTTACAAACTGCATTTATATTTAGTCAGTGGTTTCCGTTTTGACAAACCTTCATTTTCTCTTTACAAAAAAGACTTTAAAATGGTCGGAGGAATTACTTTTTTCTGAAAGACATTAGATAACAATTAACCGAGAATAAAGAAACTTGAAAATAAATACTAAATAAAATGAATAATATATACAGTTACAGTCAGAAAAGTGAAGAGGCCTGTCTGATAACCAAGGGAAGATTGATATACAACTTAGGAGCTGCTAGCACAAAAGCATGGTCCATTCTGAGCTTGTTTTTGACACGTACAAAAGCAGCTGAAACAAAAGTATTTTTAATTAAAAAAACATCTGAGCTTCTACCGGGAAACCAAAATTGGGTTGTCAGTGTTTCTCTCTAAGAATCTTTTAATTTCAAGCAACTCTTAAGAACTTTCCAGTGTGCCAGTCACTATTCTAAAAAAAAACAAAAAAACAACACACCTATATACAAGCAATAGGCAATACCGTAGGAGTGTTATTATGCTATCATTTATTTATTTGTAAAACTTTTTCAATAAAAAGTAGAAGCTTATAGAGTCTAAGACACAGTTTGTGGAAGCAATCCACTCAGACACTTGTAAAAACCTGTGAGAGGGTAAATATACATACATCCAGTTTGACGGTACTTTGTAGAATAAGCTGATCATAATTGCAATGTGGTACGGCGTGTAGCAGACAAGAAAAACAATCAGGTTTGCTTTAACTATCTCAACAATTCTTTTCTTGTCCTTTGACTCATTTTGCTCTTTCACCAAGATACAGATGGTTCGACTGGAACAGAACACGATTATCATCAGAGGAGCCAGGTAGCCTAGACATACCAGGGCTATTGTAAACTGTGGACGGAAACGAGCATCTTTGCATCTTTCATAGCATGTCCAGAGTTTGTCAGGATAGTTTTGCTTTCGAACAACTACAACAACTGAGACCAAAATCACCCAGATGAGTAAACATACGACCACCGCTGCAACTTTCTTCTTCCTCCATGATCTAGCCTGCAGAGGGAACCTGATGGTCAGATAGCGGTGGGCGCTGATGGCTGTCGTGGTCAGGATGCTGGCATACATGTTGATGTAGTGAGTGAAAAGTAGAAAAGTGCAGAGAAATGTTTTAGGTAGGCAGAAGAAGGCGTCATAGATCCTGAATGGAAGGAAAATGATGAGGGCAAAGTCAGCCACAGCCAAATTCAGCATGTAGATGTGGCAGTCAGTCCAGGAGGCTCGTTTGGCGATGAAGGCCCACAGAGCCGCACTATTGATGAGGAGACCGAGGAGAAACACCAGACTGTAAGCCAACCCCTCAAGGGTGCTGTAGGAGCAAGCAGTCACATTGACGGTCGCATCACAGATGACAGTGACATTGGAGAACATCCTGTACTGTTAGAAAAAGCAGTTGTGAAACTTTTTTTAAAAATAGCATCATCTGTGTTTAAGTAATCAGGTGAAAAACTAATTCTCCCCACAATCAGACATGTATGAGTTGAGCTCAATGAATGAAAGCCATAAAATGTGCAGCTTAATTGCCATTCAACATACCTTAGAGTAAATCAAGTTAAAATCAGGAGTTAGAAAATGGGAGCATCAATCTGTTGCTTAAATCCCTTTACACAAAATGGTAGAAGTCTTACCAAAGAAGCTGCTATCTTGATTGTGAGTTTTGCAGACTGCTATCAACATGTGCTAGAATTTTCTCTGTGCTCAATCGTAGGATGTGTCTGTTTGTGGTTTTTGATTTCCTATGTTATATTTTTAGTTAAAAAAACAGAAGGTGTAAACCGATGCAGATCTTAAAACCCTCTAAAAACATTTCAATAAGCAGAAAAGTTAATTTTCTTTATTTCAACAATTAAGACAAACTGTTTTGCAGACTATTTGAACAGTGTTCTAGTTAATAGTTATGACTTTTGCCCTTTATCTCACTAAGAAAGTTACTTTGATGTAAAGGGCTCATACTGACTGTAATATATAAGGGTCAGTTTATAAGACAAAGGTTCATTAGAAACACGTTTTAATCAAATAAAAAACTGTGCAGGACTATAAATTATTGTAAAAAAAAAGCTGTTTAGCACCATTCATTTCTATTCAACAGTTTAGCACTTCTAAAGTGCCAATTCATACCACATTTCATCTCAAGGCACTTTACAAAGTCAATTTGATCAATTCAGGCAGACAGATCCGCTGCTACTATGCAAATACTTTCTGTGTTAGAGAAGGTAATGAAAAATTTGGCTTAATTGGTGTCTTTGTTTAGGAAACAAACAGTTATGCAGATAACAGCCAACTTTCAGTTCAAAGGGATTAAAGACAGACCTCAATGTTAGTCGCTGCATAACATAGCTATGTGTAGAAGAAACACGATTAAATACTGAAAAATATTTTTTCGTCTTTATTCAAAGTTGTCTGCAGCAGCCTAGCAGGTGGCCCCCTCCAAGTGAGACTAACTCTGGTGATCCTGTATGTGTTTAGTCCTGCCTGTTCCTGACCTGTTTCTGACCACGGACTTCTGAGTTTTGGCCGCCCCTGTTCTGCTCTGTTTTGCCAGTCCTGTTTTCCGGATTGTTGCCCTAAATGTCGCCTGTTGTCGACCTTGTCGACATCTGCGTGTTTGGCTGGCAATGGAGCTACACTTTTCTGGACTACACTCCTTCTTCTGGGCACAGACTTAACTTTGCCAGGTTGGTGGCTTTCATGCTTTCATTGCTGTTCCTTATTTGAGTACTGAAGTTACTGACCTGAGCCTCTACTCCTGCAGAGTTTCCAGTGAGCCTGCCACAGTAGATGAGCAGCCGCACACTTATTTCAATAAACACCTTTTAATGTATCACTGGCTGTCTTGCCTGGATTCTGGGTCCTTCATTCTGAGCCTTCTGACACTCATAAGGTTACTACTCAAGTGAAAATTAAAACTACAGTAAAATACAACTACTCATAAAAGAACTCTTTGTTTATCAAAAGATACTCAAAAGTGAATTAATGTCACTAGTTACTACTAACCTCTACTGTATATATATCCTGAGTTAAATGTGTGGCTGGCCTCTCTCCTGTATTTGTTTTGAGTGTTTTGTCTTCCCATCTGCAGCAATAGACTGAACAGCGGATGTTGTGTCACTACAAATCACATCACTTTACTTTGTTGGACTATGAGGACACTTGTATTGAATATCCAGCCCACATTGTGAAGGTAAATAATTGTAATGGAAAATTAACCAAACCATGTAGAACAGAGTAAAAGAGAGACAAGTGGAGTATAATAGATACTAACAGAGAAAGGACATCCATCGATCTATCTATAATTCAGTTTCAATTCAGTATATTTATGTATTTATTTATTTATGTAGCGCGTATTCACATGTGTCATTTCAACACAGGTAGGTAGATAGATAGATAGATAGATAGATAGATAGATAGATAGATAGATAGATAGATAGATAGATAGATAGATAGATAGATAGATAGATAGATAGATAGATAGATAGATAGATAGATAGATAGATAGATAGATAGATAGATAGATAGATAGATAGATAGATAGATAGATAGATAGATAGATAGATAGATAGATAGATAGATAGATAGATAGATAGATAGATAGATAGATAGATAGATAGATAGATAGATAGATAGATAGAATTAACTGAATGTGTGTTGAGAAGTAGACAATGTATTTAAACCACTAAATAAACTTAATACAGATGAAGATGCGGCTGGATAGATTAATGCCTGTGCAAAACTGCAGATGTGTCTATGGTTTTTGCCATACATTTCTTTATATTTTTATGTATGTTAAAATTATTACATTTTGCAAAGTTATAGAAGTAATCAGTGAACCCATACAGAAATGTGCTTCATAGCTAAAGAGTACAACCTCCCAGCATCCTGTTGAAACCACAAGCAAACACATCTGAAACCAAAGTTCTAAACAGGTTACAAGAAAAAAATAAAAAATTCTGAATTTATATATATATATATATATATATATATATATATATATATATATATATATATATATATATATATATATATATATATATATATATATATATATATATATATATATATATATATATATATATATATATATATATATATTAATATTTATATATATTATGTATATTTAATATATTTAAATAAAAATTATATCTTGAGTGTGTAGCAAAAGTAATTTCACTCTGGGATTATTAAAGTATTTCTGATTCCGATTCTGATATGGGTTTTTGGAACAATACAGAAGCCATTAGGTGGGAGCTAAAAGTGGAAAAATCTGATTCCCCTCTCTTCTTCCAAAATGCACCCCAGCATGCGGTGAAGCTGTGGTTATAATTACTGAAACATACAAGAAGTTTCACTAGCAACTTCTTGCACAACATTAAATGGGTTTCTGCGATGCAAAAAGTTCAAATGTGGGATTGAGAATAGAAAGTACAAATAGGTCACAGACATGCATAGCCTAAGCAAACAAGTGGTAACGCAGCCTTTAAGTTACAAAGGTTAGAGATTGTGGTTTTGAAAAGATTTAAAAGAAAGTGTTTCTACCACATTATAGACATTTGTTACTGTAAAAAAAATAACATGTCTATTGGGATTTTGCTCGCCTCTGTGTAGTTTTCAATAGGATGTTTGCAGTGTGGCTGAACCTCACCCTTTTAGCTTGTCCTCCTGACAGACTGTAACTGAAACTTCATCCTGCCAGGGGGAGCAATTGACGGCAGAAAGTGAGAAAGCACAATTGAAAGCTTTGTAAAAACAAAAAGGGTCTGTCTGAAAATGTAATCTGGAGAAACTTTTTGGACGGACCTAATGGAAGAAGTGAGAAAATTGATGACACAGGAACAAATGAGAGAGTTGTGAGGTTTGGAGGGCAAAGTCCTGCTTTTAACTGTTTCAATCTATTTAAGGAAAAACTTAGTGGTTTTAGAAAACTTAAAGTGGACTCTGAAGAAGCAATGGGCCTCATGAGTTCAACACTTGGAAAAGTGTTAAGCATAACTGTGAATGATGCATTCTGCAAATCTAAAAAGTGTGACATGTTATAGTTTTCATTTTCCTTTAATAATACTGCAGTTTATTGAGGCATGCCTGCACCATTCTGGGCCTGAACTTTTTGCCAAATTTATCTCTTTACATCTATAGATTTGCCTGTCAAACAACTACTTTAACTAAACTGGACCCTGTTTACCATGCTGCTTTGAGGTATATAGCAGGTTCACCCTATAGGACTCAGGAGTGTACATAATACACCCTTGCCAGATTTACTTCACTAAATATTCGAAAAATGAAGCATTGGTCTCTCTGAGCATGCGTAGGTTTTCTCTGGGTACTCCGGCTTCCTTTCACAGTCCAACAAAAATGACTGTTAGGTTAATTGGTTGACAAGAGAACCTTCTAAATTGTTACAGGGTTCCCTCCCTTGTCTATGGCAAAATGCAGGGGAAAGCACCATCTGATAGCTATGTCAGAGGAAGGATTAAACCATGCACTGTGAGATTCTCAGAGCTTGGATCTTTATCAATTAACCCTGCATTACAGCTACCTGGCTTCTGTGTTCCTTGGTCTTCACAAAACTGTTTGTTCTGTAATGTTCTCTAACAAGCCTTCATGAAAGGGCTAGATCAATACAAAGATTCAGTTACCTACAGGGAAAGTCTGTTACCTGATTAAGTGTCCTCAATAAGCAATTGATTTCCTTTAACTGTATTTTGAAGTAAAAAAAAAAAAAATATATATATATATATATATATACACTATATTGCCAAAAGTATTTGCTCACCTGCCTTGACTCACATATGAGCTTAAGTGACATCCCGTTCCTAATCCATAGGGTTCAATATGACGTCGGTCCACCCTTTGCAGCTAGAACAGCTTCAACTCTTCTGGGAAGGCTGTCCACAAGGTTTAGGAGTGTGTTTATGGGAATTTTTGACCATTCTTCCAGAAGCGCATTTGTGAGGTCGCACACTGATGTTGGACGAGAAGGCCTGGCTCTCAGTCTCCGCTCTAATTCATCCCAAAGGTGTTCTATCGGGTTGAGGTCAGGACTCTGTGCAGGCCAGTCAAGTTCATCCACACCAGACTCTGTCATCCATGTCTTTATGGACCTTGCTTTGTGCACTGGTGCACAGTCATGTTGGAAGAGGAAGGGGCCAGCTCCAAACTGTTCCCACAAAGTTGGGAGCATGGAATTGTCCAAAATGTCTTGGTATGCTGAAGCATTCAGAGTTCCTTTCACTGGAACTAAGGGGCCAAGCCCAGCTCCTGAAAAACAACCTCACACCATAATCCCCCCTCCACCAAACTTTACACTTGGCACAATGCAGTCAGACAAGTACCGTTCTCCTGGCAACCGCCAAACCCAGACCCGTCCATCAGATTGCCAGATGGAGAAGCGCGATTCGTCACTCCAGAGAACGCGTCTCCACTGCTCTAGAGTCCAGTGGCGGCGTGCTTTACACCACCGCATCCGACGCTTTGCATTGCACTTGGTGATGTATGGCTTGGATGCAGCTGCTCGACCATGGAAACCCATTCCATGAAGCTCTCTGCGCACTGTTCTTGAGCTAATCTGAAGGCCACATGAAGTTTGGAGGTCTGTAGTGATTGACTCTGCAGAAAGTTGGCGACCTCTTCGCACTATGCGCGTCA